TTTTCACTCTTCTAAGAATTGCACATCTTTGATAGATTCAATTAACTTTGTTATGGGGACTAAGCACAAACTCATAGGAAAGCTAAACTAATTTTCCCTCTTTTTATTTCACAGAAATTTGTTGCCATCTGCCAGTAATAGATTAAAAATGACTGTTCTTGGTGTAAGAAAACTCATTCTTCCCTTTTTTATGTCTTTTTATTTAGATCTTAGAAAGTTGATTGTCCAACCACAGTGTAAACATTGATCATTTAATACCCCTTTCTTGTTTAGTTCTATCTCCAACCTTTTCTATTTTCTACCTGTCTCCCAACCATACATATAAATCTTATTTTTAGAAGTGCATGTTAACTATACAGAATAGTGGATTTCATTGTGACACTTTCATATGTGAACATGGCATACTTTGATATTATACAATCCCTATTACTCCCCCTTAGTCTCCCCTTCTCTGTTGTTGTCGTCGTCATTGTCTTCTCCTCCTTCTTCCTCTTCTTTTTCTTCCTCTTCCTCTTATTTTTCCTCTCCTCCTCCTTCTCTTCCTCCTTCTTCTTTGTTATTATTGGTCATGGGGCTTGAACCCTGGGTGCTGTTTCTCAGCTCTTCAGCTGAGTACTCTATTACTTGAGCCACAGTGCCACTTCTGGTTTTCTAGTGGTTAATTAGAGATAAGTCTCAAGGACTTTCCTGCCCAGAGTTGACTTTGAACCGTGATCCTCCGAGTTCAGCCTCCTGAGTAGCTAGGATTACAGGCATGAGCCACCAGCACCTGCCTTTCTGGTCTTCTTCTTAAATAGTGTACCTTCTACTTTTCATGTTGCCTCTCTCTCTTTTTTCCATTCTCCTAATTCTACATGTAAAAGAAAACATACTTGTCTTTCTGGGTCTGCCTTATTTTTCTTAACATAATCATAGCCAGTTCCATCTGTTTTCCTGAAGATGGCATGATTTCATTCTTTGTAACTCTACAATACAATATATATAATATATATATATTTTATATATATAATATAATTTTCTTTAGACACTAATTGGTTGACAGGTTGATTCTATTACTTAGCTATTGTGAATAGTGTCTTGATAACTATGATTATAAAAGTATCTCTATTGTATGAGTCAGTTGGGTAGCTACCTAAAAGTGGTATAGCCCAATCATATGGTAGTTCTATTTGAACCTTTTGAGAAACTTCCATAGTGATTTCTGTATCTGTATTAATTAACACTACCTGCAGATTCTTGCCAGCATTTATTATTTTTAAAATTCTTGATGATAACCATTCTGACTGGGGTGAGATATAATCTAAAAGGTGTTTTTTTTATTTCCATGATAAAGATGTTGAATTTTTTAAAGATACTTATTGGCCATTTGTACTTCTTTTGTGAAGTGTGTGTTTGATTCATTTGCTCAGTTATTGATTGTATTGCTTATTCTTTTTTAAGTTTTAAAAACATTCTGGATATTAATCTTCTGTAGAAATTATAACTGGCAAAGATTTTCTTAATACTATGGCCATTTCTTTACTCTGTAATTTTCTCTTTTCTGTGCAGAAGCTTTTAAATTTGATACAGTTCTATCAGATATTTTCCTCCAGCCTTCCTTTTTTCCCTTCTTTCCTCCCTTCTTCCCTCCCTTCCTTCCTCCCTCCCTCCCTCCCTCCCTTCCTTCCTTCCTTCCTTCTTTTATGTTTTATAGTTTGGGCATTTTCTCAAGCTTACTAGGTAGAGGCTTTACCACTTGAGCCATGCCCCCAGTTTCTTATAAAACCTGTAGTTACTATTTATGTTTTTGTTTACTTATTTATTTTTTATTTTTGCTGGTCTAGGGCTTGAACTGAGGGCTTCACACTCCCTACTTGCTTGCTCTACTGCTTGAACTACACCTCTAACCTGGCTTTTTGCTGTAATTTTGGACCTGGAGTTTCAAAGAATTTTCTTCATGTTTCAGCCTCTTGAGCAACCAGCACCTGGCTATGTACATTTATCTTGTCTACTTTTAGTTTACATAACTTGTCAGCATGTTCAGTTTACATAAGTTGGTATCATGATATAAATTTTATTCTCTTTTTAATTTCATGCACTTTTAAGATATATCAATGCTTCTTCACATCCCACACACTAGTTTCATAATATCTGTCAACATTATGTTTATGTTAATGTTTCTTTAGGGATGAACACTTAGGTTGACTTCAGTGAACAACAGGCAGAGATGAACAGCCTTATAATTGCTCTTAAAAGGAAAGTTTCTCTGGGATATATAACAAGAGTAGAATTATTGGACAAAGGAACCATAAATTTCAAGAAATACTTTCTGATAACTTTCCAGAATGGT